AATGTTGGCGGCTCAGAGCCTGATGGTGAAGATGGGTTTGTTTTTTTTTGTTTTTGTTTGAACTCCAGGGTATGCTGTTGAACTCAGAGCCAGCGCAAGGGTCCACGAGGTCCGGTTCCGATGCTCCGGCGTTTCTTCTTTTTCACGACGGTACGGCGTGGTCGGTGGGACGGCGTGGTCCGGCTCGGTGGTGCAGTTGGTACCGAGAATCGTCGGGCCACGTGCGAAGAACTCTCATGTAACTTCGGGCGGTTCCTCCATGTGAAGAACTTGAAGTGTCCACACTCCACACCCTGCAAATTCTCAAAGATCCCACAAGCTACAAACCCAATGGTGGCGCCGTACTCAGTACCCTTCTGTTGTAGCAACACCGAAGACTCGGACGAAGCGTGGCGCCTGCCCAGCATAGCGGACGGCATAGGTGCAACCCGGCGTGCCATCCGGCTCGCTACACCGGCTCCCTGGCGATCGACCGGTGATTGGGGTGATCGATGAGGTGCTTCAGACCACGAGACCAGGGCCAAAACAGAGCCAAAGGAAATACATGGAAAGACCCTTAAAAGGTGTCCACTGTTAAGTGGTGTTTTGGCCTTTGTCTTCAGAACACCTAAGGGCCTAAGGGCTTTGGCTTTTCTAGTCTGGTTATTTCCATCTATAGTCGTTCTTGGGTGGTGGCCGACCCCCACATCGTCCACAATAGAGGTCCAGTTGTGAACTGAAATCCTGAGTTGAGGGGTATCCCTTGGGATATCCCAAGGATTCCCAAGGTATACAATGTGCAAGTGTGAGGACTATCATTCTAAACTTAGCATATCAATGCATATCATATGAATTCAGGCTCCATGCCAGTAGCTTTTACATCCAAAAGGTTTAGAGGTTTCAGTGGCTTGCTAGACTGCTAGACAGCAGACCAAACTTGCAAAGGATATTCTGCTTGAACTGAGGAATTCAACACTTCCACCAAAGGATGTGTCTGTCTCTGCGTGACTCTCTCTCTCTCTCACTCTCTCTCTCTCTCTCTGTGGGCATTCCTTTTTGTCAGCGGAGGATAATTGGTTCTGCTTCGCAAACATGTACTGCTGACTGTCTCGTTCGTGCTTCGCAAGCCAGGGGACCCTGGAGAAAGAAGGCTTCGTCTTTGGGATCAAAGAAAGACCAAGTCCAGAATAGCCGAGTCTCTGTCAGCACCATGGCCCACGAACAACTGCTTGCCACAAATCTGCTCAGTGACATAGAAACCAGTACATGACCTCTGCGAAGGTGGTAGCATGTTGGTCCAAGCACAAAGGAGTTTGCATGCGTCTGGAGGGCAAGAGGTGTCCACAACCACCTTGTAGGGACAAGCCCTCTTTTCATCCTCATAGGCTGCCAGCCAACCGCCATAGCGAAGGTGGTTCACAGGCTTGAAGGACAGCCAGTGCTGATGAAAGTCAGAGGTGGCATCTATGACTCGGAAGGTATACCTTAGTAAGCCCCAAAAGCCTGAAAAATAACATGTGAGCCTCTGGAGGTTCAAGAATGTACCGTATCAACAGCAAACCAAAAGGCAAACCAAATGGTCTGACTGAGTCAGCTTTGGACAACTGAGAGACGTATCTGGAACCAACATGTCTCGCCAGTAGACCTGGTGCAACTCGACGACAGCGGCATGCTTCTCATCCCCTGTCACAGCCCAGCCGTCGTGGGTGAGGCACAAGTACCGGTCGCAACCATGCCACCTCAAGGTTGTCTTGATACTCGTCATACCAAACAGTTGTGGGTTCAGTTGCGTGGTATGTATTTCGGAAAACACCAGGTCACCAAACAGTTGTGGTTTATTTCTTTTTCACAGCACTTCCATGATGATTGCAGGGAGTGCAACATCAAGAAATACACCATTGGAGCACGAACACTTTTAGGGCTTTCTCGATGAAGGGAAGCCCTGGCCGCCTGGTTCGTGTGGAAAATACCCGTCCCCTCTCAGAGTGGAGGGGGTGTCTTCTATTAAAATGCACACCCATATCTTGAGTTTATCCCACTACCAGGTTTCAGTGGATGAGGATGGGGCCTGGTTGCAGGCCTTTCCATTTTAAAAGACCGTTTTCTTTGCGTGAAACCATGACTGTTGCAGGTACAGTAATAGGACAGACCCAACCCAATATCCTTTGCATCGTCTTCCCCCCACACTGAACTTCGCGCGCTGTGTGGAACCGTCCCCACCTGAGCTTCGCGCGCTTGGCACCCAGGCGATTGATCCGGCATTTTCCCACGCACACCACGTCCTTCTCAGCGGACTCTTGTAGGCTGCCATTGGACCGAGCAATCTCCTGTGGGACGTGACCCGCTAAGAACCCAGGACCGGCAAAATCTCGGGGTGGTAGACATGGAGTGTCCCGAAGAACCAGCGTGATAAGGGGCTATTTACATAGACACCCCGACAGGAGGGTCCGGCTATAGACGATGGATGGAAAACAAACGCAAGTTACATCAAATTACTCCCTTCTTCAGTGGCTCCCAAGTCACTAGCTTCACGATTTCAACTTGATTCTACAAGGGAATCCTTTTCTAGTTGGGGCTCGCTGATTTCCAGGGACACATGCCAAATCGGTTGAAGCAATGCCAAGTCTCAGGGTAGAAGATTTCAAATGCCCAGCGAAACATGCCCATGCCCATCCCATTGTAGAGCTGCTCTGGCATGGCGATGAAGCAAATTGAGCCCATCAACATGTAGACCAGCAACAGCCGACACAACCAGCTCATCAAGCCAACGCTATGAATGTAGAAGCATTGAACCAGTGCAGGTGCAGCCACCAAAGACAGCCTCATCAGATTCAATGAACGCGCCATGAGCTCATTCAATGTCGTCATCATCTTTGAAGTGGATACGCCATCCTTTACTGCGCACAAATTGACGCCCACCCTGAAGTGGGCGGGATCTGACCAACGTTCCATGGCGCAAAAGAAGGCGAGCTTGTTTCTAAAAGTCTTGCTGGGGAGAGGTTTATGGACATATGTTGCATCTGACAGTATGTCTGTGTTCAATATTCATGCGTTGGTGGGCATAGACATAGACAATGAGGATCACACCAGGAAATCAGCCTCCACCCTTCTTCATAGACGACGTTTTTCAGATGTGCCGACAGAAGTTGTTGCCCCGCGCTGAAGGATGAACAGCCAGGTCGCGCGGGCTGGAGCTCGAATCTGTGTGTCTTGGAACTTCGAAGTTGTACATCCATCCCCTGAAAACTGACATGAAGATTCGTGCAGAGAAAATCCAGAAGGATGCAGCATGGATAGAACACTGGACAGTTTCAATGACCTATCCTTCGACGTTTCTTTCACCTGCTGGGCTAGTTGCCTTTTTTGACAACCCAATCAGCGACCCAACCCTCAGCAACGTGTCATTGAACTCTGGATGTCAGCACAGTTGTTTCCTTTAGACATGTTTGTTCTTTTGACCTGTTTTTCTCTTTACACCATTGTTTCCCTTTAGACCGTTTTATTCTCTTTCTTTTAACATATCTGATATTCATTGGACTATTGTTTTTCCCTTTAGACAAGTTCCGCCTGTGTAGACCTTGTTCTTGTTTACATGTCTTTTTGTTAGATCTATTTGTATCGATTTGTTCTTTTGACATTCTTTTCTTTCCACATCTTTTGGACATCATTCTTGCCTTTAGACCACTTTTTTCTTTTGACCTTTCATGTACTTTATATTCTTATTTCTACATGTGTTCCTTTATCCTCACTGATGGTCTCAGTTGGCCGCTTCAAGCATTCCACCCGCCCGCCTGGATGCTGCTGCTTGCAGTCCTCCTGGACAGGCACGCGTGTTGGCGCTCGGTCCGAAGTGCGGCAGTGCGAGTCATCCCACAAAACACCTGTGGACGCTACGTATTTTTCGGAGTCATCCTATAGGTCCTAGATGAAATGGTAGGACTTCACGGGCTTCCCCAATCCCAGGAAATGGTCGGGCCGAACCTTTGGACTCAAGATCCATGCCTCTTTAAGACACCAAGCATCACCAAGCCATGATGGAAGGTCGAGATCGTTTTTGTTAGGGCCCAAGCAGTGTTGTCCCCTTGAGATACCATGGACATCAATTGGACCCCCATGGCTCCATCTCCACCCTCCGCATCCGAGTGGCTGTCTTCTTGTAGAGAGACTCCAAGGGGCAGTCGCCAATCAGCGAGTACCAAGTACCACTGATGCATTCCTGAACATTCAAACAGTGCGAGAACCGAGACAACGACTGCCCGTCTTTCTTCATATTTTCCGATGTGGCACGGAGCCTGCCCCGGTTTGGAACCGCCTCTCTGCCTCTAACCGATGGCCTCCTCTTGATCCCACCGACCGCCCGAGGAGTCGCCGCCGTCCGTCTCTTCGACCGCGTCGCCGGGGAGTCGGGAGGATCGCAATAGTCCACCGGCGCCTGGCGTGGAGACGGCGTGCAAAAAAGGTATGTGAGCGTGTTTGACGCACAGTGGTCTTCAAGTGGAACCTGATTGGTGAAAGGACACAAGTTTCATCAAGAACAAGCACATCAACAGCATCAAGACAGGTTCGCGATATCCAACGAAATCCCCAAGAGAACACTTCCAGGAGATCAATGATGTTCAATGTGCTATCCTACAACTTCCTGAAATTTGCTATCCATGTATATTTTTGAGGTCACCGCTATCCTCCACTTCCCGGTGCGACCACGGTCTCACGTACTGGCCACTCGGTCATGGTCACCTAAGCAGCCTCAGCCTCTGGGGTGGCCTTTTCCCCGCTCTTCACAGGGTTTCACAGGTCGGCCCTGGTCAGTCTTATTATAGTAAGTTCGCCAGTTTATCGGGTCTTTGGTCGACCCCATGGCAGGTCGATATCGAGAAGCTGCCATGCTACTAAGTCATTCGCCAAACCTCAAGACGATCCTCTCTCTATTGGATCCTTTGGGTCCCCCCTGGCCACGTGCTCCGCCGGAAGACCACCCATCGGATCCCCCCTGGGACCCATCGGGACCCCACCGACACGGCGGAAACCGCGGCCGATACCGCCGGGTCGGGTACCTTCAATTCAGCTTTTAAATGGAAGATCTGGCCTCCTGACTCCTAATCACCTCCATAGAAAATGTTGAAATGCCAATCAGTTAAGACTCAAACTTTGGCCATGAGGGTCCCATTTAGGGGATCATCCAAATCTCCACCATGTCTCCCGTGACTCCTGTGCGCTCTCCTTTTGCGACCACCTGCGACCACGTTGACTCGCTTGGGGGGCTGTTCTCGACTCCACCAACGGCCAAATCCTCGCACTCCAACGCCGGCCTGCCGCTTGTAGTTGTAGTATCCCGTCTCCACCGCCTGTAGAGCTGGGCAGTTCCCCCCGCTGGTGAGCTGCGGGGATGAAGCTGCTGCGGTGGGGAACTCGTCGACAAAATGTGGAGGCATCAAATGATGTACAGTAGATCGTGGCTGTCACCAACACTCCTCTGGGTACAGGTCCAATTCAGGGATCTTCGCTAGTGTGAGGTCACTTGCAAAACCATGTGTTGGTCCTTTGAAGATCTTTGAAGCGTTGGAAGGAGCAAAACCAGTCAGCCCAGAGTGACAGAACAGTCGGATCGGTCCAATCACACACATCTGTCCACAAATCTAGACGACACATGCAGACGACACGACCCCCGGTCGATTTGATAGAAACTCAAAGCCTCCAATACATTCCAATACCATAAGGGACAGAATCACACATTTCACCAAACAGGGTTTCAGTTGCGGTCTGCTCGGTCCTTCCATTCAAAGAACCTCCCTCCAGCGCCTTCGGATCTCACTTCCTCCACCCGAGGTCCGAAAGTGCGGACTGAGACCGCCTGGCATCCGACGGCGTTGCCGAACTCCTTGAGCTCACTTTCACCTCGGTGACCACGGCGGAGTGGGGGGGGTCCCACGAGTGTTTCACGCATGGCAACGAATGGATGGGGAGCAGTTTAGGATAGTTTAGGATACCACATGATACCAGGAGGTGGTGTCTCACAGTGTCTCATAGTGTCTGGTTGACCGGTTGACCTATCTCTTTTTGAGGACTCTGTTCACTTTTCAGGGGTCAACCACAGTTCTGGGGGTTTGACTCGCACCCATGCAAGTGCTTTGCAAATTGAGTTTGGATTTGTGCAGCGCCATGTGGCGCGTCAAATCCCTTTTGCCAAGGCTCAATGTGTGGCAGTACCTCAGAAAGCGTCAAGTCACGAGGGGTGATGCTAAAACCCGCAGGATCCCTAAGTCATTCTTGCGCTTCTGCTGGATGTTCATCCTTTTTCATCCTGAATCATGCATATGATGTACAATACCTATTGATGTGACTTGTTGTGAGATGGTGTCAAAGGGGATTCTCTCCCAAAGGTCTTTCACTCCTAACTTGTTTTCCGCAAATTCTCGGTGTCCGTTGGTCAATGCCATTCTCTTCGTCCGTTGGTCGTAGATGGAACATCACTCGGTTCACATCACTCGAAATGAGGATCGTTTTCGGATCGATTTCGGCGGGCGCAGCCCAGGCCGCCCGGCTAAAACATCTTCGGCGTGACCGGTGAACATTTTGCATGACATGCCCGTTTTGTTGGCCTTCCTGCACAGCCACTTCCATAGGTCTTAGAATGTGTTTAATGTTTGTTCTACCATATGTTATACTAGACACAATATTCCACAAAAAAAACTATCATCAATCATCCATACGTTGATCATCGCGGGTCGAATTCCACCCTACATCTGCAGCTGAAAAAGCGGACGTTGAGCCAACATCCCCACATCCCTTGGATCTATCCCACATCTTTGCAGGGATAGATCCCCACATCTTTGCAGACGTTTTGGGCACCCATCGCGGGTCTTTTCTTCCCCAACCATCGGGCCTGGTCGGGGCTTCGATCTCCAAGCGGCATCGGGCCTGGTCGAAGGCGCCAAAGGGGCCGAACCTCGCTGGCTCGCTGGCCCCGTCCGCGGCGTCCGGGTCCGGCGAGCTGAGGTTCGGGTCCCGGGAAGTCAAGGAGAATTCCACGGTTCGACCTGGTCTTTCTGTGTTTACATACCAACCCTTGGGTACCCCACCTATGTGGAAGGACCCTAAGAGGCGATGGAGGATCGATCGCGAGTTGGTTTGGTCTTTCTTTTTTTTCTGTGGATATCTGTGGATGATGTTTTTTTCGGATGCAGGCCTGACATTGATCATCTCTTGGCTGACGGTGACCAGTCCGAATCGGGGCTTGTAGCCCGTCTCGCCGGCATCGAGATCGGATCGGTCCGAAACTCCGAAGCGACGGTTTTTCGCCACACGGGTCATGGTTAAAACTGGGAGATTCCACATCCCATGACCTGCTGGGGGTGTGGTAGTGGGACCTTGATCCTGTGAATAGAGACAAGATCAGCTGAGCAAGAATCATCACTCTTCATGGTGAAAGGTGTTGGACATGTTTTGGACACGTGGTAAGTCAAGCTGCTGCCTTCATGTCCCAGAAACATGGGTCCAAAGCAAATGAATCAGTGAAATGAACAAGGAACACATTCAATCATGACCAGTCACTCTGCGTGCTGTTGGTTTCAACATGTCCAAGCGGCTGCTTCCCATGGGTCTCGCCATTGAAGAGATACTGCTTATGCTCAAAGGTCTCTTTCGGGTTCTTCACCTTTGACTCTATAGAAGGGCGGAAGGCGGCATATAACCCTTTCAAGAACTAGGATAGGGCGGCATGTTCCTTTTCTTCCATAAACAGTAGCTTTATTATCTTTGTTGTTACTAGTAGTAAGGCCAGGAGCCCCGTTCGTAGCGTCCGAACGCTCCGTTCGTAGCGATGCCAGGAGCCCCGTTCGTAGCTTCTTGTGGTGTTCGATGTGTCGCCCATTGATGGCCCACAAGGACCATCAAGTCTCAAAAACTGGGCCACGACCTGGGGACCAGCCGAGCGACAGTGACCAAATAGCGAA